ACGGATCTAATCTGGTCGTTTTAACCGTAGGAAGGTGGCTGTACCGCTGCTGGTATTAAGCGTAAGAAATCAAATATGCCTGTAGCGGTGATGCTGCTACAAACACAGCTACTCAGTTAGCCAGCGTTGCTAACGCCATTAGCGAAGCGACACAGCAGGACTGTTTTTAAGAAGTTGCGAGTCAACTGCGCTGCGCCCGGACACGGGTCCATTATACACATCGGAGTGACCGTTCTGCTCTCCTTCTGTATAAAGGGACACATCAGCTTAGCAGCAAACTGAGCCACTTTAAGCAGCACTGGTGCTGCTGGGTAGCTATGTCCATCACGTTTAACTGATGTTTATGGGTCAGTAGACAACGACACGACCTTAATCCAAAAAAAAAAAAACACATGAACGCAGACATTTCAGCCGCCCCAAACACTGGCTACTGTTACAGTTTTATAATGTAATTACATCAAACAAAGTGACCACATTTAAATGAAAAAAATTCTGTTCTTGAACCTCATTATTTCCCCGGAGGGAGTGCACCGTTCCTGGAGACACTGCAATACCAGGTCGATGCGTGGAGTGGACGGAGCAAGCCCCTATTCCATCTCCCTGTTCCAAAAATCAATTTAATATATGGTCCCCGGGTAGGGGACGTATCAGATATTAAACTGATAAGAACAGATACTACACTTGATCTTAGCCAAAAGGCCGAGAAGCGATACTTTTACATTAACAGACCAAGGGAGGTCATTACAGACGTCACGCTTCCCGGTTACGGTTGTGTAAGTCATCATTTACTCTCACTATAAACCACAAGCCTGAAATCCAAGTGCGACGAATGCGAGGTCTTATTCATAAACTCTCAGAGAAAAACGGTGGAATAAGCAGATAAAGAACCTGATAACTAAATACAGCGGACATGCAAATACAGTTACACAGCGTCCAATCAAATACAAGTATTTTATTTTTTTGCTTTGGGTGAATGTTTCTACAGCAAATCGGTCACAAAGCATCTACAGCGAACACAGAGTTTATCTGCTGACACTGGGGTATAACAGCCTGACCATTTCTTATAAAAATAGAGCCACTTTCTTACAAGTTTCACATGATTATGAGCGACTGTCGTCCCTCTTGTGGATAAATGCTGTATTACAGTGTGAGCCCTTCAAGCACGAAGCACTCGATGCAAGTCTTGGTTGCCCTTAAAGAAGAGGAGCATAACAGAGCACGGAAAGCCAGGCTGTATACGAGCAAGGAACCTAAAACACAAATGACTGTAAACTAAGTGAACTATACAGTCACGCGCTCAACAAGCAAACGTAACTTTCTAAGAAGGAGAAAATGCACGTAGTTCCAGCCATGACTGCTTAGGAAGCCTCCACTGAAAGTTTAATTTCACATAAATGACGTTAAATTTTGTTTATAGGTGTCGTGTAAATAAATAATTGATCATAAGCACGTCTTCCTTCTGCCTTACAGTGCAACGCTACGTGCAATGACCCGACCTAACTTGGTCCGTGGTCTTTAAATTCTAGGTAATGGAACTTAAATTACTCAACACCCTGTCTAAATGAGTCATATTAAAATCAGTACACATACCGTCATGGCGGGCTCGGTCAAAGCATCCTTGCACTCTGTGGAGGCCCAGCTATGACGAGCCAGAGCAGACAGACGTTACAGCTTCCCAATGTTTCTCAGGCCCCACAACGTCCTATCCGACCCTGAGAAACAAACATAACTGAGACTGGCATATTTTTAAATACTAATAAAAAACGACTCGCGCACTAAAACACGGCTGTTTGTGTTCGAGTTAATCTCCTTCGAAGGGAAACGCCATTGCCAAGGCCTACAAGAACAAGACCAAGACCAAACAAGCAGCCTTTCTCACTTTGTACTCGACCTTTCACAGAGTATACACGAACATAGTACTTAACAGCAATTTAATCACGCTCATGTTCGTACGGTAGTTCACGTTACCAACGAATTTGGAAACACATTTAATTGTAATTAATACATTTACAAACGCATTTCTAGCTGCGCCCCAGTGGCCGTGAGTCAGTCGTGTTCAGTCGATGTGTGGAGTTCAACTCTTCGATGGAAACCACATTCACTATTACTCGAAAAAAACGAAATATAAATTAAGATTATATTTACTTTTTTTCAAAAATGAAGCAGATCTGCGTCACTGTGGTCCACTTGTGAGTTTCAAGTTACAGCGTTAACAAGCTTCATTTTTAAGCGTTAGTAGTATAAACTAATAAGCTGTCGCCATCTATTGTGCGTGCATGGAACTACACGCGTAGAGCAATTGAAGCTGATTCATTAAAAAAACGCACCTACGTTACTGTATACAAGAACACAAACAGCATGAAACCATACATTTCACACACACTAAATAAAAAAGATTGTGTCTTTTAATGTATGTGATCTGGATTTATTAGGCCCAATTTTATTATAGCTATTGTGGACCTGCTGCACTGCTGGTAGAGATGTTGGCCTGTGTGCCCTAAAGGCAAGCTGTTATTGGTCCACGATGTTAGAAAGTTGTGTCTGGTGTGAGGCAGGAGTTTATGGAGGTAAGTGTTACAGGGCAGCAGTTGTTCCAGTTTTCATTATTGGTTGCTCTGTGAAGAAAAGTTCATATCCTCTATAGAGAACACACTTCTGCACATTTTAATGCACAACTGCTGTTTATTTGCTGAATTTAACATACTGGGGGAAAAATAAAACCAAATATGGCCTGTATATATGAAAATAGTAGTGATAGAAAAAGGTTACAATGTCTACAATGTAAATGAAGCCAATTTCATTTGCTGTCCAAAAATAATCAAACATACACATCTTTTGAGGTTTATACATGAAGGCAATAATAGTAAAATAGCCATAAATCTGTACTATTTTGCCTTACATCACCCATGTGCCTCTTTGTTCAAGGTCTTTTCTCAAAACTATTGTAAAACAAGGCACCAGACCACATATGAATTCATTTTGTGCAATAATTATATGTGAGATAGCTTTTAGAGCAAGACAAGCATGCTCAGTCCTGGTCATGGAGATCAAGTTCAGATCCAACATACTAATATTCAGGTGCCTCTAAAGACCTTCATTACCTGGATCATGTATTAGATTTGAGTTGGAGCTAAACTCTGCACAGTGGTGGATCTTCAGGACCAGGATTGGGCATTCCTGTTTTAGTGGCATTAAACCAGGGGTGCACAACTCTGGTCCTGGAGGGCCAATGGCCAGCACAGTTTGATGATTTACCTACTCAAACACACCTGATTACACTTACCTGTTAATTGTCAGGTTTAGTGGATGTGAGTATAGAGCAGGGGTGTCCAGTCATATCCACAAAGGACCGGTGTGGCTGCAGATTTCCCTCAAAACAAGCTGGAGCACACCAGATTCCCAGAGTTGTGCACCCCTATATTAAAAGCTTCAGACTAGGGCTGTCCAGTCTGATCTACAAAGGGCCAGTGTGGCTGCATAATTTAATTATACCAAAACATTAAAAATCCTGCTTTAACAAATATTATGAGACTGACTGCAGTTAATATGATACGTCACCACAACAATATTGAAGATCTGATTAAATACTAGGGCTTGGGAAAAAATTGAGTAATCCTGTTGTGAATGCTGTGCTCCTGTTAGGACTGACAAAGTATGCAGAGAAACAGATGGCTACAGTTTGTAATTGTAGAACTACAAAGTGCTCCTATAAGGTAAATGGATCTGTTAAAAAGGGCAATGAGTGTAGATACAAGGGAGTGTTCCTAATAAAGTGCTCGGTGAGTGTATGTGTTTAATGACACTTTACCCATATCGGCTCCATAACGGCAGGTGGCGATATGCACCACTTTAAAGTTGGTTTGTAAACCGCCATTAATAAGAAGCGGCAGCAGTAAACTTGGAGCGCGTGGGCGAGAGCAGTGAGAGTTTACATAAAGACGTGGACACTTTCATCACAGAACAGCAGCTGGACATCATCAAAATGTTTAAAGGTGATTTTGCAAGTTGTCCGAACTACAAACAGTTCACGGTGTGCCTTGACGCTTCTAACTTAGCAGCAACTTTCTGTGAACGGGGAAGGGTAAGGCTAGCCATCGATAACACAGAAGTGTAGCTGCTAACTTAGTTGTTCAGAGTAAACAGTTACATGGCGGAGTAAAAAAAATCATTGTACTTTTTGAACATATGAATATTTTTCTGTATTTTCTGTTTTCTCTAACTCTCAAAGAAGTGTGAAATGTGGAACAAGACCCTCGCTGTTTTGGGGCGTGAGTGCCCAATTCCGTTTGTAGAAATCATCGAGGGGATGTCGCCGTGCGTTGTCACAAAGCAGTTTTTTCAGAAAACCCGGGCCCCAGTGAGCAAAGCAATGGCGACAGTGGCAAGAAAAAAACTCCCTAAAAGGAGGAAGGAACCTTGAGAGGAACCAAGACTCAAAAGGGGTGCCCATCCTCCTTTAGTCAACACCAGATAACGCAACAATAGCAATAAGTAGAGGACAAGATTTAGCAATTGATAAACGTTATTGAATATAGAGAAAAAGAAACCTGCCTGTCACTGGACAGAAGTATTTTGCTAGATTAACCAGTGATAACCGATGGTTACAGTTAGAGGCCCATCAGAGTAACGTTGAGAGATGTGTGACTACTGTTAGGAGTGAATCACAGTAAAATCGAATCAAATCCAGGAACATCTTTGACTACTTCTAGACTTCTGTCATATTAATGTGAATATGATTAGCATGTTCTGTGGCTTTTCAGCATATGTAGGTTTGTAAGAACACACATGTCCTTTTCACATTTGTTTTAACATGACATTCTCAGTAGCTCCTTTTTAGATCATTATCTTTCCTGTATTTTTTGCAGCTTTCTTCTGTTTATCTATAGCAACACCTTTAGAGTCCTCTGTATGCTCAGAATGCTGCACTATGGACCAGCATCATTCTGCATCGTGCATGGTTTTCATTCTTCAGGCCCCATGGAACAGCTGAAGGTGAGCATGTTAACCAACTACAGTGCTGCAGCATCTTAACCCGAACCTTAGCATTCTGTGCCCTCTGAGGTCCACACTGTGGTGGATCGATGATGAAAAGTAGCCAAATCTGAGATGTGGGGGTCACATCCACCACCCATGATTATGCTAGAGAAGCTGTGTGTGTGTGTGTGTGTGTGTGTGGTGTAAAAAAAAAGTGTACGAATGAATGTCTGAATGTAGGTGCTGTATGAATGTGAGAGGTGCTGTGTCTGTGTGTGTGAGTGAAATGTCTGAGCGATGATGTAAATCTCAGTACTTGAGGTGCAAGTTTAAAGTAATTGCTTGCATTTTAATGATTGTCTCTACACTTGAACTGAGCTCAGATAATTGGTCTGTTTGTCTGTGTGTATTCAGCTGGGACTGACCTTAACATCTGATTAAGCCTGTCCTCCACAGCCATCTTTATTCCAGCAAACATTATTTTACCTGGGTCTAGGTCGGTTGGCACCTGAAACATGATAAAGGGGACTAGCAGTGTTTTCACATAGTTCGTTTTAAAAGAACCGAACAGAGTTCTGTTAAAGTGAACCTGGAAGGGCACCAACTGCAAATGACCTCAGTTCATTTTGCGTTCACAATCTAAGTGAACTGTAAAGAGGAGTTTTCTTTCTGGTCCTTCGAGATCTCTGATCTCTTTTTGTTCAGACCACAACTCCACTAGAACTCGAGAGGCGGCGAGAGGAACCACCAGACCTGCCTGCTGCTCTCTTATTGGCCGCACTGAAACGATTGGCCAAAGTGCATCACACAACATTGGAAAAATGACCCTGCGTGTCTACCGCAGTGGGTTTTGTTTTCAGCTGTGCTCCTCACTGAGCTCCACCTGGTGAAACTCTGCATCAGCAGTGAATTTTCATTCATTCAGCATTCAGTGTGAAAGCAGCTTAAAATTGCATTGCGTCCCCAGCTTGAGCCTTTAACACGGTAAAATCAGGTGGGCTCTCGCATCTTATCGCTTTAATATGTCAGCGCTGCTGTCTTGTCGCAGGTCACGGGCAGACTTTATCCTGAGTAGAACCTTATAAATGATCCTTGGTGGTCGGTTTTTACCTGCTAAAGTGCTGAGGACTGTGGCTGTGTGTATGGTGAGCCTCGCTTTTCACCATAAAGCAAAGCTAAAGCGGTATGGGGCTGTTTTGTTTTCACAAAGTACAAATAAATCAAACTACAATACAAATGAACCAAACTGAGACCACTTCGAGAGGGCCATTTAGAGGGGTCTGAGTTTGTTTGGCATGTTCACATATGCAAAAGAAACCATAACTCAGCGGTCTCGGTCCACTTCATATGCTGAAACAGCCCAAGTGTGAAAACACCCTAAGAAACCAAGTTTTTTCCCGTTACATTTTTCTTTGTGTTACATTAGCTAAACAAACATGCATTCTCTGTTGCATACATAGTAAGAACCAGTGCTTTAGTAACTTGTTGGTTGTTTTTGAATGTAAAACTGTTCCTTAGGTATGTGCTGAGGTCCTGTGTGATCAGCCATAACTGCTAAAAATGGCTGCTACAACTGAGGGATTGATGACTACCCCTACCTTCATCTGGATTGCAGACTTTGAGTAGTAAGAGATTCTAACTGGTCATCATTTTTTTTTCCTCTTTTGTTAAAGAGTTAAAATCATATAAACTTTAAAGACACATGTTGACTGCAGGTGTATTGGAATCTTGTGACTGGTCTCTGGATTTGGGTCTTTTCTGCATCTGCCTGGAGCTCAAATGACCTTGCCAGAACAACCACCAGTGAGCATGTAACAGAAGTTCCAATTTTGTTAATTCTGATTTAACTAGAATAGTTTAATTGCCCAAAGCATTTATTCATTTTGAAGGTACTTAAAGTTTTTCCCCTTTCTTTCTTTGTTTTTCTCTTCTTTAGGAACCCCCTTAACCCCCAGCTGTGCTGAGAATAGTCTGTGTGTTCTGGTGGCTCTACCAAGTGATCCTCACCTTAGTAGCCATGGTGATGCATGATGGAAGGAGTTGTGTTTTTCTTTTTTTTTTCTCTCTATACTGAATGACTGAAGAAAGTACTGAGCAATGATGTAAATCTAAGTACTTGAGGTGCAAGTTTAAAGTAGTTGCTTGCATTTTAAGACTGGAATATATTTTTGTTCATGTTGTATAGTATTGTGGGGAAAAAAAAAAAAGTTCTCTGATGAAATTTGGTGTTTGAAATATTTTGGATAACAATGTGTAAATGGTTGGAATGATATTTGAAGCCTTTCAGTGAGATATTGCTGCTTAGTAGCCATGTTAAACTAAACAATCCTTTTAAAAATCTAAACTGGCAACACTGTCAGGTCTACACTTTAAATATTAGGTGTGCACTTTGGGTCACAACAAGCTCTCACTCAAGTCTGGAGATTGCAAGACTGGTTCAAGCTGCACCACTTGCCACAGTTCCAAAATTTGTTTTGAAAAGGGTTCTGTTTTCTAATTTGATTAGCTTAAAAAGGATTTTTGATCTGTGGTGCTACAGCAACGATTTCCAATTAACCGACCTTAGGGATGTCCAGTCTTACCCAGAATGAGCCAGCTTGGCTGCAGGTTTTCTTTCCAACAATTGATCAACTAAATCTGAATGAACAGGTAGAACCTGCTTTATTAGGATGAAGACCTGCAGCTACACTGGCCTTTTATAAATAACATTGGACACCCTGACCTACACCTCAAAAGTAGATGAAATGATTAGTCTACACCAAAAGAGACAGTGTTTCAAAACCCTGGTCATGGAGGCCAACTGTCCTGTCCATGTTGGTACTTTCCCTGCTTTAACACACCCACTTACACTGAGTAAGAGGTTGTTAATAATGCGATGAGCCCAGTTTCCCAAAAGCATTGTAGTGTTAAAATCATCTTAACTAGTAGAAGGGGAATATTCGGTGTGATGTTTTCAGGAAACCCAGCCCCAAATAGTTGACCTGGGGTGTTTGGAGCAGGGAAAATGCTAAATGAGCAGAGCAGGGGGCCTCCAGGACCAGGGTTGTGAAATGGTGTAAACTTTCAAAATGTTTGTCTATGTTCTGCAGATGTTTCCCCAGTTTTGTATGGATGTACTGCCTGCTTGGGGAAATTCTCTGATGTCCTTTTGAAGGAAAAATAAAGATTTAAAGTGGTAATTTTATTCTTGCACTTTGTGAAATGATATGTTGTACATATCAAATGTATCACTGTGTTATTTAATCAGTTCAGTGTTGTCTTCATCACTCTACACAGTGACCAGGTCAGTGTAGTTTGTTCTACAAGCAGCTCGAGCCTCAAACATATTCATTCTCTTCTCAATGATGTGGAGAGTTCTGAGACGACTTTGTTCTGCAGGAGAAAAAACTGTAGAAAGTTCTGTAGTTAATGTAGAACAGAAATAACAGGTGTAAATGTGTTTAATCCAGTATGTTTTACTGTACAGAATGAGAGATTCTACAGCTTTAGAACAGTGAGATACTGGACTGTTAGAGAAATCACTGTAAGGTTGTTCTCTTCAGTTTTAGGATTGGTACAGTGTTGATGGGCGTGTTCAGTTGTGTTTATTGTGAGTATACAGCTGTTACAGGTCAGTGTACAGACTGTACTGTAGTGGTGAAGCTGGGAACAGTGAATTCAGAAAATCAAGGCTGCACTGATTTAGAACAGTTGGAAAGATCTAAAGATTAACAAACTCAGACACATTTCTGCATCTCAGTGAATGCATCTGTGTGATTGAGTACAATCGGTATAAAAGTACAGAGAAACTTATTAAGTGAACATTTGGGTTAAAATCAGAAGCAGTGAGCCAAAAATATATGAATTAAAATTATTATTATTTATTTTTTTTTAGTTTGCTTGTGAGAATTTTTCTTCTTTAGCCATTTTAAATGCGAGTGAGAAAGAAATCTGAAAGCATATATATATATATATTTATGTATATATATATATATATATATATATATATACATAAATAAATATATATACATTTTTCTTTCCTCAATTTGTCATATTTGGGAAAAAAATGAACTAATGAACTAAGTGCACTAAAATTAGCAGGAAATTGTCACATTTATATGTGTTTTTGCGTACAGTCGACTAAGCATGTAATTTGACCAGGGGTGTTTAAACTTTTACACACAACTTTATACTGAATTTAGGAGATGGAGGAGAGAAACTTTCTGTTATAAATGCCAACAACAGTTCCCTAGTTTCGCCACAGACCCCAGAACTGATACCGGTCAGCTGGACTCCCAGCTGCCCCTACTTCCCTTCTGTGTATCCACCATCTTTCCTCCAGTGGCTCATTTGATAAATCCATGTTAGACTCCTGCTTTTGTTCCCTCTGACTTGTTTCTGACCAGTTTCTGACTTTCGCTTTCCTGAACAAAGTGACTGAAACACAAAGATCTCCTCACTGAAATAATCTCTATGAGGCTTTTTAATGTGGCCTTTACACACATCACTGTACTGAAACTGAACTGACCTCCTGCTTTCTGCAGATGCTGGATCTCTAAAGATTCTTCTCCTCATTGGTCTAAGTGCATCTTTAAATACTGTAAATCACAACATTCTCCTTTTCTATCCTGCATCTACTGGTGTTCGTGGCATTGTTTTATTTCTTAGTGCCAATCTCACCATTTCCAGCAGTAAATCCATCACCGTCCCCCGGTTCAGGTTTGGGCAGCATGGATTTCTGATCTTAAGCTCTGGAACTAGAACTTTCTTAAATTAAGTACAGATAAATGTGAAGTTCTCCTTTTAGGCACCAGAATGTCCAGATTTTAACCTTGGCTTTAAGATCCTAGACTTGCTGTCTATGCAGTAAAATGCTTTTATCAATATGAAGGATCCTTGTAAAGTGGTGTTAATGGGTCTTTGTGTGTTTGTTTATGTGTAGCGTTTACCATCAACAGCAGTGAGGTGGGCTTTGTTAACCCCCCAAGCATTTACTTTATTTTTGACAGTAAAGACCAACTGAACTGCAGCACCACTGATTCCTGATCACACCTCTTCACCACTGACACAATATAATTACTGTATAAACGTTTAAACTCATAACTAATAAACTCAGACACCTGCATGAGGATGGAACAATAACCAGTCACTATTATTCATAATGTACATCCACAAATCATGTTAGGGGTCATAAGGCTCACATTACAGGAGGAGTCGCTTCCCCAGCTGTGTGTAAAAGTTGATGCACGGCTCAGAATCTCGTCAGTAAACTTTCCAGCAGTGAAGGAGCTTCTCCTGTTTCTACAGACTAATAACACTTAAAGATACTGAACAGACATTTATGATGTTCAGAGCCAATAAGTTTTAAAAGCTTATGAGTCGATACTTACCTGAGAGGAGGAAGAAGAGGAGGAGGACAGGGGCAGTTGCCATGGTAATACCAAACACTCCCTGCTCTTCTCAGTAAACAGCTGCATCTGATCTCAGATGAAAATGTGAAGTATCAGTTGAACAGAAACATACAGAAAGATAGAGGTTCACACCTGCAGTCTTACCTGATGAAGTGCTTCTTGCTGAATGAGCTGGAAATATTCAAATAACAACAATAAACCTGATCCTGCTGATGTCACAGCGTCGGGGAAAATGTGGGCAGGAGCTGATAAATGATAAATAAAAGCATCAGACGGGTCAGTGAAAAAAGATGAAAGGGCATCTAGAAAAGCCCAGCCTCCAAACAAACAAACAAACAAACATTCAGCGCAATTTAAATTATCACTCAAAACTGTAATGGACTTCATTTGATTTAAATGTGCCTAAAATGTTAAAATGTTCTACGTGGCTGAAAAGTAGCTACTTAGCTACTTCACTGAGCTAAATGCACTCAATGAATTAAAATAAATCACATAAACGTGAATAAATGTGAAATGATTAGACTAATCATTTTCTGTATGATGCATACATTAATTTAACTCAGTCTGGTTCGGTTTAAACAATGGAAAAAAACTGTAAACTAATTTACAGCTACTTGATTTATTTAAAGGGGAATATAACATGGTTTGATGTTTAATGGGTCACCAAAGACAAACTTACAGGCTCCATCGCTGTGAAAGGATCCAGGGGTCACAATACATACAATGCAAAAATAGCCATTTTATTCACTGTCCAAAATAAACAGTGGACCTGCACGTCATCTGATCTTTTATATGCAAAGTTGATCATGATAAAATGAGTTTTTGGGGGCCATTTTTGCCTTAAGAAATATATTCACCAGAGAGGTTTATGCAGTGTATTTTAAGGCAAAATTGTCCCCAAAAAACTCATTTTATAGTGTTTGTCAGGCACCATGCAATAAATTTGTTAACCATATGCTATTGCAGAGATTTAAAAAAAAATTGATTTTTAAAAAAAATCAAATGATTGAGATTTAGAAATTGGTTGAATTGCCCTTAACATCAGTACATGCAAATACACTGCTACTTTTATTTATTTATTTTTTCAATGTAGAAATGAAATTTAAGCTTCTTGTTTTCCTTACCTGAGTAGTACTAAAGGTTTTTAGACAGTTGGCTGATATTGATTGGATAAATGCTTTACACACGTTTTTACCTGTTTCTGGCTCCAATACCTGAGTTTGTAATTCGCTTATTATACTTTGGGTTCTTTATACTCTATTACTGAAACATTCAAATTAAGTTGAGGAGTAAACAACAGTCGAAATCTGAATCTAATGTGTTCCTGTCTGTTAAATAGGTGGGGTTTTTTTTTTTTTGGTCCACCACACATCAGTTTGTTCAGAAAGTAAAGTAATAGCCTATACTGTATTTGTACACTCTTCAGGCCTGTATTAATCCTTTTATGCCCATTAACTAAACTTTGTATGATAAGGAAACATTGTTTTAATTACATATAAACTTGCTGTTTATTTGAAGCAAAAATTAGCTTTTAGGCAGTGATTCGATCGCTTGAAAATGTCTTGAGATTTGTGCTCATGCAAGCATGGAGAACACAGGGACATTTAAACCATCATAAATAGACATTAATGGATCGATTGATTGTTGTTTGCATGTTGTATAAGTTTATAAGTTTATTTTTTTAAATACACGCCAAGGTGGAATTGTACAGTAGACTTGCACTTAAACGACGAGATGGCCAGCTCCATTTTTAATGAAAGGAGACAGTCTGTCCATGAATAGCAGCAGGTTCTGTGTTCCAGAGCCAGTGTGTTGTTGCCATCTGGTTCCACAAACCGGGCCAATTTTTCAGCTTTGTAAGTGCCGTGTGACCAGAGTGTTCCTCTCCTCCCCATCTTCCCCCTAAGTGTAGCAAATGGGCTTTTGTTTTATGAGATAGCTATAAAGTAAACCACTTACACTACTTAGCTAATATGTTTTACAATTTGTGCCAAAGCTGTGAGGTCTAAAAAGGGCTAAACTTGCAATTTTCAGGCTGAAAAAGTGCACTGCCGCCTCCAGAGACGTGTCCACTGATCTCCACAACAGAAAAGAGTTTCTGGATCATTACACTATCATAGCTGCTGATCATCACACACCCCTCTCCACACAAACGCAGCATTTATGTATTTATTTTTTCCCCGGCCAGCTGCAGATTTCTCGATTTCCATTACAGTCTCCACAAAGATTTCAAGGGGAGGGTCTCTGAGGTCCACGCGCTTTGGCGCCCTCTTCCGGCACCGAGAGCGCGGGCAGATCACGTGACCTCAGCGGAGAGCAGCAGCCACAGAGGCATCGCCGCAGCTCTGCTCTTCTCTCTACCGCAAATCACGGGGATTAGCAGCATCCTGTTTTTACCGGAGCCGTTTCGCCCGCTGGACGGCGGGTCTGATGCCTGCGCTAGTGAGCCGTTAGAGCCCGCCTGGAAGCTCTGTTCTTTCTCTCTCTCTCCGTTTGTAGTCGGAGTATCTCTCTCACATATGCTCATGCTGCCCGTTGGTGCTCCGGGGACGAACCGCGTTTGAGACTCGGCGGCTGCTGCTGCTGCTGCGGGGGCAGAAGGCGAGGCTAGTCGAGGCGAAGCTGCATCTGCGCGGGAATGGCGGACCGTGACACGTTACCGCTGCCTATCGAGATACGCGCGCGGCTCGCCGAACTGGAGTTGGAGCTTTCGGAAGGTGAGAGGCGTTTTTTTACATTTCTTATCCCCCTCCTCTGTTTTTATGTGTTAACGGAGCGCCGTCATCGGTGGTTCGGGAGGAAGAGGAGCGAGTCTGCGCGTAGACCAGAACCGTAGGCTAACAGATTGAAACCCCGAACCCCTGAAACGGGCCTCTTCTCTTCTCCTCTCTGGTGTTTACATCCGTTGTGCGGTGTTTGCTCGCGTTTGGAGAATGGACCGAACGGTTCAGGTGTGACCTTGGATGACACGAAGTAAACGGACCCTCTTTTCCGAGACTGGGCAGTGATGACTGAGGGACACCGTGCAGGGATTTTTCACCCCAAAATCACACACACAGCATTCGCTTGAACATAAACACCCTGGCTTTTCTTCTATGGGCTGAATGTGAATATGTCTCATTGGCTGTCCTGTCTCGCGCTGGTGGTGGGGGGCGGGTGTTGTTTTGATCGCTATTTCATGATTTTAACGACTTGCGATGCGTTTGGCGCGTGAAAGGCACGAAGAGATTTGAGCATGTCCCCCAAAATAACAGACATACTCGTCCGTTTCCCTTCCGCAGCCTCTCTCTTTCTCGCTCTCTCTCTTTCTCTCTCTTTCTCTCTCTCTCTCTCTCTCCATTCTAATCACCATCTAATGTCTATTGTTGTAGCAGTGAGTTCTTCTGGTCTAGGATAATCCGAGCAGCGGTGTAAAATCTCAGAGATATTGCATGGCAGCATATGAGTGAGAGTGAGTGAGTGCAGGTCATGTTCAGGCTCAAGCAGTGAAGCAGGCAGGTTTCATGTTGATTGCATCATTTCACTAAGCATAAGGATAGAAGTTTTTACTTAGTGGTTTTACCCTCTTTCTATACATCCCTGAACTGGCCTTGAGCATATCATGCCTACGTTGGTATGTTTTAGAGGGAGAGAGTGAATGTTTATGTGCGAATGTACAAGATGACGTTGAAAGTCTTTGCATGGCTTATATATGAGTGGATTTGTGCCCGTGAAGGTCTGTCTGTATCGCTTTAGTGAATGCATGTTTTACAGATATAAGGGATTAGTGTCCATATATATGGTTGTATAAATGTCCACCATTTACTCTCATAAGATCATGACCTGTCCTATAATGTCGCTCTGGTTTCATTGTTTTCTGCCATGTGCGGGTTTTGGCCCACTTTCCTCACTTCCCTCTGATTGGCTCAATCTCTATTGTTCCCTAATCTGATTGGCCAGTAGGACAAAAGCCTTTAGGCTCAGAAGACACTTGTTGGGGGATTAGGGCATCCTGCTGGTCAGAGTAAACACACATATGTGTATTTAATGTAAACATAGGCTTATCTTTTCTTCTTTTCCTTTCTGTATGTAGTGCATGTAAGTAAGCAGCCGATGTACTGTATGCTGTTCACATCTTGAAACCTAAGAGCTTTGAAATATTTTGCTATACTGTCTGTCTGGCCCATTTTTGAGTAAATGCAAGCTTTGCATTTTTAGACTGTTGTAATGCTTTGTGTGGAAGATAATTTAAAGTCTGTCCAGAGAAGGTTCATCCAATTACACACTGCGCAAATGCAAAGCTTGTGTTTACTTAAAAATGGAGCAGAGAGACTGCATAGCAAATTATTTCCAAGCCCTTAGGTTTCTGATTGGGAAGCATAGAGTATATCCACTGATTACTTACATACGCTACATAGAAAAAATGTATGGATGTTTATGCATAAGCATTGATAAGGGTGTAATTTGACGTACCTTAGTCACTTCTCTAGTTACTACACTCCTTGCACATATTAGGAAGTATAAACCTAATAGAAGCTTTAGTGAGTAAAAAAAATTACACACAAAAATGCTTAAACAGTAGTGGAATCTTTAGAAGTAGCAGTGTATGTATTGTTATGTTGTTAGAAAGCTTCTTTTAATGAGCCAGCAAAAAACTCCCATGTTCCTTGATGTTCTGGATGAATATTTAAGATATGCCAGTTGATTAAACAGATACTCCCACTGTTTTTTTAGCCTAATCATCCTCTGCATATGTAACATGCAGTCAGCTACCATGTACAATAATTTTGACCTTTTGCCCTGATCTTAGTAAAAGGACATAAACTCATTGTTTATTTTTTTAGCATCTGCCCATTGGCTATTGTGAGTGCCTCTCTCTCTCTCTGTGTGTGTGTGTATATATATATATATATATATATATATATATATATATATATATATGTGTGAATGAATATTTAGATGTGCACACATTAATAGAAATTTGAAATTGCCAGCTGCCCTTTACATAGTATCAGAATTTCTTGATAAATGGATCAATAAAAATGAAATAAATAATTTCTCTGTTAACTTGCATTAAAAGTTAAGGATATTTCTGCCTTCTCCTGTAAATTTACCTTTTTTGAGATACAAGGTGTATGTATAAGTGTGTGTGTGTTTGTGTGGGTGTTTGTGTGTGTGTTTGTGTGTGTGTGTGTGTGTGTGTGTGTGTGTGTTTTTCACTCTTACTCTCGCTCTCTGTGTGTTTTGGAGTGATCAGTGAGAGGTTGCTCTGTTGCCAGGTGTGTTGCTACGAGGCAGGTGTTCATCTTGCCATACAGGTACTTTATGTAAACAAACACCACACACACTGTCCTCTCCCTTAACAGAAACATATACTGTGTGGGTCTGTGTGAAAGACAGTGTCTCTCTAAAGTGCCTCTCACTCATGCCCTACATCCAGACAGTCATGAGTTAATATTTCATACTTTTGCCCTCAGTTGCACATTTATTTTATGTGTGTGCGCATGTGTCCTACGTTTATTTCAGTGGAAGTGAAGGTGTTTGAGAGTAGATTCCTTATCAGATCGTTTTTCTTTCAAAACGATTTTATTGTCTTACTTTCATGTACGCGCTTGTAGAAGTAGTGTTGTCATACATACATATTCAAAATAAAAGCTTTTTGTCTTGTTCTTATTTCTTTCACAATAAATTTAACATAATTATCAGTTGAACAATTATTTAACAATAATTTATTGTGTGTGCCAAGTGCAGTCCTTTATATGTATTTAAAACCTGGGTTAAAATTTCCTCCAGCTTCATATTAACCTGCTGTATTCACATAAATCACATTTTCCAGTTTACCCTAAGAAACACTAAAACAATAAAAAGACAAAGGTTACAAATGTAAAATACATTACATGCATTTATATTAATGACACATTACCCCTAAAATGTGACATTTGCAGTATATTTATATATAATATAACAATATGTCACAATATATATTTTTTCTGACATCTGATATGTTAGTTTAGAAAAAGTAGTTCCACATTTAAAAATACTATAAAAAGTATATAATACAATAATCTGTATTCATCATTTCATGTTATGCTGCACTAAATAGGACTAATAATGATCTCTTTGTAACAAACATGCTGTTGGGAATTACTGACAATATTCTCAATATCCGCCCAGTGACAGCTGGGATAGGCTCCAGCACCCCACCGCGACCCAGAAGGATAAGCGGTTTAGATGATGTATGTATGTATGTATGTATGTATTCTCAATATACTCAGAAAAACATGTGGTGTAATTTGTCACAATAACGATCAATGTTGTCATATTGCTCAACCCTTTTCAACAGACAGTATACAAAATCTGTCATGATGTTTTGACACACAGACACAATGCACTAGTAGTGCCATATTTAGAAACCGCCATCAAAAATGGAGTACAGTGATTGTTATAACATTTCGAACTAAAATTTGTAGCGAAACATGCTACTTAATGGTGTTTTTATGTATCAGTGATATCAAGAGTGTTCTCAGAGAAGCACATTGTTTAGTGTGAAAATAAGATTTATCACGATAATGATAAAATATCACCATATTGCCCACCCCTAATACAGATAACACATTAGGTCATCTAGCAATTTACACACATTCACTCTTACACACACTCATACTGTCCTGCTATGTGTGAATAGGATCTTCATGAGGGTGAAAGGCAGAAAGAACAAGTTACATGTTATTTTTAGCCTTAGTCATGTGACATTGTATCCATCTCCTATTGGTTATCCTGACTCAGAATGTTTATATGCATAACAGGCTCTACATTCCGTTATGTAGGCCTATAGGTGTGTGTGTGTGTGTGTGTGTGTGTTGGGCGGAACAAGAGGGAAGGGCAGAAGAGGAGAGCAGGAAAGAGAAAGAAAGGAGACATGGGGTTGGATTTTTGCTGGGCTCAGGTTGCTCTGTATATAAGTACAGCTGTCCGACATCTCCTGTTTCTATTTTTAATTTGCTCTGAATGGAGAAATCTTTCCTGGGCCTCATTGTGCATTCCTGACCTAAGGAGTTCATTGGTTATCAGTTCAGCCTTCAGGACCCTCATCCACTCCACATCTGGGCTTTGTTCCTGCTCCTGACTCACCCGAGCCAGTTACTCATTGTGCAGAGTGCATCCATTGATTACCTGGCTGTTGTGTTAGAGATCGGAACACAATTTTCTATAATAAATAACATCACAATACGTTTTTCTTAGGATATCGTGGGTATTAGAGGTGTGCGTGGGTACTCAAGTATTGGCTTCATCATTTAAGATGCCAGTATTTGAGTGCTGATACTACTGTTAAGGTGGTTGTTACGTTTCATCACAGGATGATTAAGATAATAAACAGGCTGTCATGGAAATGTTGTGAAATCGTAGCTGATGATTGCCATATAAATAATTGCTGTTAACAATTTAATTGTCTGTTTTGTTCATTGCCTGCAGTTTTTAAAGTGCAAGCCTAAACTGGCCAGATTGGCTGATTAGCTCTTCTGCTTTCTAGCTGTTGATGCTGAGTACCTCCCGACTGACGACAAAAACAGCTGAAGCTCAAATAAACAAACATTACTCACTGATGTAGCATTCTAAAGATGTTAAATTGCCTGTTAGAAGTTAGAACTTTTGTTGTTTTTGTAAGACCCATGATAAATTTCAATGAATGCATTTTCTGCTTTAATTTACATGAATTTGCCTCAACCCAACTAATGAA